GCAAATAATTAATGTAAAATAATGTCACCTCATGCTGCTCCTACATGGACATAAGTACTTGGACACGTGACCATTACACCAACAGGGACTTTTATGACATCGCACTAAATATATGCACAACAATGAACATAGAGTAAATACATAGACACTTATCGGTCTTTTCTTTGCAGCTATAACAGCTTCCACTCTTCTGGGAAGGCTTTCCACAAGATTTTGGGGCTTTTCTGTGGACCTTTTTGCCCATTCATCCAGTAGAGCACTGTTGTTGGATGGACAAGAAGAGCCGGAACGACCCATTTTTTCACAAATGTTTTTAAATGCAGAATGCATGGCTGGGTACTCGATTTTATACACCTGTGGCAATGGGTCTGATTGAAAAACCTGCATTCAATAATTAAAAGGTTGTGTCCAAATACTTTTGTCCATATAATGCAGCTGCCACTAATACTTTTTTTTTTAAATTCTTTATTTATTGTTTTTTCGGGTTATTTTGAGCAATAGATGGGGTACAGAATGTAAGCTGGTGAGTGGGGTAACAATATTGTACTTCTACTTTTTGTTTTTGTGTGGTATCTAGTTTGTATTTTTTAACTTTGGTGCTTTTCTTGTTTAGATATTTCTCATAAGAATTATTAATTCCAATAAACGAGCTGTGAACTGCATAACTCAGTGGTCTGTCATGACCAGTCTCGTCGAAAGGTAGTTTGTTTGTGTATGTGTCTGTGGGACCACTGATACTTTTATGATAGAATAAAATAAAACCGGACATAGCCACTCTAAGGTGGAGATGAAATGATCGCAATGCGTTAACTGCTATTTTTATTGCAAACATACAGAAGGCAGGGGTTTAAATATTTAAATAGTCAATTATCTGTAACTGAGCATGAGAACAAATGGATTATCAATAATAATGTAAGCGGTTTATTAACAAGCTAAGAAGCCTTAATAGCTGTATTGGGTTCATGAGAAGGAATGAACTGCATTTCCATATGGGCCCATTAGTCACTTATCTAAAGTATAGGAGATAAAGCAACAGCACTAATTCACTCCAGGAATCCAGCCTGACCGATTGTTCCAACACAGACAGACACCAGATACATAAGAAAAATAATACATTATTTGTGAACGCATTACAGCTCTGAGAATTATATCCAAAATATACCATTACATGGGGTTCCGAATTGCAAAATTCAGATAATATTTTTTAATACAGGCAAACCATCAAAATATTGCCCTTAGCTCTCTGCTCAACTTAACATTTTAGTAACTTAAACTACCATTCATCCAGCATTTACTGATTTATTTCCTTTGTTTGTCTTCTGTACATATCTTGGATGTACAAGTAACAATGTATTTTGCTACGTGATATGCAGTAAAGATTACACTTTGTAGCAGAATAGAAACTTGCCAGATATTTTTTATTCCCCTTTTGAGGCTGTCCATATCCTCTGTAACAGAATTTATACCTTATGGTTGTTTTTCCCCTGTTATTTTGTGTGGTTCCTCTTTGGCCATTCGGAAGACTTCATATGAATGGCATCACTCTGTCTCCCGAATGAGGACCACCCCTGCGCCCCATTAGAATGTTGACACCAACCACTTAAGTGTGAAACCACAAGGGAAATAATTAATAAGGGCTTCCTCTGGGTGGCCGCCAGTTTATATAACTGAACACGTGGCAGAGAGCATGGTGGCCATCTTGTCTCCCGAACGTGGGCAGTGGTACTTGGTCGTCGAGAGCCTGGAACTCTTTTTGGCTAGGCACTTGCGCGAACGCTGGTAAACCTTAGACCGCTGCCCGTCCCAGTTCCCGACCACCTACACAAACAACGTTCGGTAGATATGAACTAAAGGTGACAAGCATACATCCATTTTGCTCTCTTCCCTGCTTTCTACTATACTATATTTCTGTTATCGTCCCATAAAATACATTGAACTCTCCCTGATATACTTATCCACTTTGTGGGAAGCTAGAACAACAAGTGGTCCAGTTTTATTCTGTAGGTGATACTAAAATAGTTAAAGTGTGACAATAGGTGCATGTAGGTCTGCACAAATAGATAATCCCAAATAATCCACTGAAAAATTATGCAAACGAAAAGCAAATTTATTGATAAAAAAATAAGTATGCATATCAAAAAGTCATGGTGTCATACTGTCACAGCAGCCCTCATAGGTGCTAAAGGTAGTACAGCCATATCACACCAAACCATTGTAGTGCACTGAGATGACACAAATTTCCCAGCAAGAGAGAGAAAAATAAAATAAATTATGTTCAGAAAATATAAATTTACCTGCACCTGCCAGACAGGGGAGAGTCCATCCAAAAGACTACCCTGAAAAACAGTGTGAAAACCTTGGATGCGGCGTTTCACATATTTATACCCCTGTGAAACAGGAAGTCATGGTTAACCGATTTCCTGTTCCTAGTCACCCTGGTGTACTAAAAAAATTTAAATATCAATGGGAATATACTTGAAAAAGATTTTTCTCATATGAATTCACAGAGGTGTCAATAATTGTACCACACATATATTTAACAAAGATTTTTTTTAATAAACCTTTGTTGTGTTTGCAGTTGTTTAATATTCATATATTTTTAACAAAAGATCAAAAAGTTAAACATAGAAACATAGAATGTGATGGCAGATAAGAACCATTCGGCCCATCGATTATGCCCAAATGTCTAAATACTTTCATTAGTCCCTAGCCTTATCTTATAGTTAGGATAGCCTTATGCCTATCCCATGCATGCTTAAACTCCTTTACTGTGTTAACCTCTACCACCTCAGCTGGAAAGCTATTCCATGCATCCACTACCCTCTCAGTAAAGTAATACTTCCTGATATTATTTTTAAACCTTTGCCCCTCTAATTTAAGACTATGTCCTCTTGTTGTGGTAGTTTTTCTTCTTTTAAATATAGTTTCCTCCTTAACTGTGTTGATTCCCTGTATGTATTTAAATGTTTGTACCATATCCCGCCTGTCTCATTTTTTCTCCAAGCTATACATGTTAAGATCCTTTAACCTTTCCTTGTAAGTTTTATCCTGGAATCCATGAACCAGTTTAGTAGCCCTTCACTGAACTCTCTCTAAAGTATCAATGACCTTCTGAAGATACGGTCTCCAGTACTGCATACAATACTTCAAGTGAGGCCTCACCATTGCTCTGTACAATGGCATGAGCACTTCCCTCTTTCTACTGCTAATTCCTCTCCCTATGCAACCAAGCATTATGCTAGCATTTCCTGCTGCTCTATTACACTGTCTGCCTACTTTTAAGTCATCTGAAATTATTACCCCTAAATCCCTTTCCTCAGATGTTGAGGTTATGCCTGTATCAAATATTCTGTACTCTGCCCTTGGGTTTTTACGTCCAAGATGCATAATCTTGCACTTATCTACATTAAATGTCAGATTCCACAGCTCTGACCATTTTTCTAGCTTACCTAAATCATTTGCCATTTTGCTTATCCCTCCTGGAACATAAACCCTATTACATATCTTTGTATCATCAGCAAAAAGACGTACTTTACCATCAAGATCTTCTGCAATATCACTAATGAAAATATTAAAGAGAATAAGTCCAAGTACTGATGTACCCCACTGTTAACAAGACTTTGCTTCGAATATACTCCATTGACTACAACACTCTGTTGCCTGTCACTCAGCCACTGCCTTACCCATTCAACAATATTGGAATCCAAACCTAAAGATTGTAGTTTATTGATGAGCCTTCTATGTACAGCAGTGTCAAAAGCCTTACTGAAATCTTGGTAAGCAATGTTTATTGCACCACCCTGATCTATTATTTTAGTTACCCAATTTAAAAAATCAATAAGATTAGTTTGGCACAACCTCCCTGAAGTAAACCCACATTGCCTCTGATCTTTAAATACATGTGATTTTAGATGTTCAACAATCTTATCCTTTAACATGGTTTCCATCACTTTCCCTACTACTGAAGTAAGGCTTACCAAACTCTATAGTTACCCAACTCTTCCCTACTACCTTTCTTGTGAATAGGGACAACATTTGCTAATTCCCCATCTTCTGGGACTACTCCTGTTAACAATGATTGGTTAAATAAATCCATTAATGGTTGTGCTAGTAAATCACTATACTCTTTTGATAACTTTGGGTGTATTCCATCAGGCCCCATCTACGTATTTGTCTTTACTTTTGACAGTAGAAATAGAAACTCTTCCTTTGTTAACTCACATGTAACAGCTAGACCTTTATCCTCTTCTACATACCTACCTTCTTTTGTTTTTAATCTAACTAATCCTTGTTTTACTTTCCTTTTCTCATTTATGTATCTAAAAAAATGTTTTGTCCCCCTTTTTTAACTGACTGTGCTATTTTCTCTTCTGTGTGTGATTTGGAAGCTCTTAAAACTTGCTTAGCCTCTTTCTGCCTAATCTTATAGATCTGTCTATCTTCCTCACTCTTTTTTTTTTTTTTTTTTTTTACAATTACTAAATGGTAACGTTTATTTTTTTTTTACAATTTTGGCCACCTCTGCGGAGTACTACAGTGGTTTCTTTAATTTTTTGCTCTTACTGACAAACCTAATGCAATTTTCCGCTGCTTTCAGTAATGCAACTTTTAAATAATCGCATTTATCTTGGGCTCCATTTAAACTGCTCCAGTCTGATAATGACTCCTTTACCCATATTCTAATTTTAGAAAAGTCTATTTTTCTAAAGTTTCAAACTTTTGTTTTGGTGTGGTGTGACTCAATCACTGTACTTATATTAAACCACACTGACTGATGGATCACTGGATCCTAAACTTTCACCTACAGTAAGATCTGATACTAAATCTCCATTTGGTATCTAGTATGGGGTACTTACAAGTTGGCTCCTCAATGACTTGTTTTAGAGACAATCCCAGTAGGGAGTTTAGAACATGTATACTCCAGGCACAAGCAGCTATTATGGTTTTCCAGTTCACAAATGAAAGCACATGCAAATGCTTGGGCTTGTCTGAGATTTAAACCCTGGACCTCTCGCAGCCTAAGTGAGAATCATACCCCTAGACCCAGGACCGCCATCAGAAATTGAGGGGCCCCTAACCTAGCTCAAGGTCTTGGCACTGACGTACATACATACTGATACACACACATACGTACAGACATACATACATACTGACAAACTGACATACATACACACACATAAATACATACTGACATAATGGCATACACACACACACAGAGATACATACAAACATACTGACATACACACACAGACATACACACATACTGACATACATACTGATAGATATATACATACACACATACATACTGACATACACACACACACACACACACACACACACAGACATACATACAGACCTATATACATAGTGACATACACACATACAGATAGATAGACACATACACACATACAGACATACAGACATATTGACATACACAAACAGACATAAATGCATACTGACATACATACACACATACACACACAGACATACATACTGACATACACACAAGCATACATACTGACACACACACACACACACAGACACAGACACATACATACTTTCAAACACATACACAGACATACATACTGACAAACAGACATATATACATACTGACATACACACACACATACAGATAGACACATACCTACAGACACACACACAGACAAATATACATACTGACATACACACAGACATACATACAGACATATATACATACTGACATACACACAGACATACATACAGACATATATACATACTGACATACACACACACATACAGATAGACACATACATACACACATACATACAGACATTCACACATACATACAGACATTCACACATACATATAGACATACATGCATACTGACATACATACACACATACATACTGACACACACACAGACATATATACATACTGACATACACACAGACATACAGATAGACTCATACACACGTACATACTGATATACTTGCAGACACATACATATACACACACACTTCATTTTACAGCCACCCTCCTCTTAAGGGGATGATGGGAGTGGATGCCTCTGGTGTCCTCCGCTCTCCCTCTGCTCTCCCTCTTCTCCGCTCTCCCCCCGCGCGGAGTAAGCTGGGAGGAAGTGACCGCCGTCCCAGCAGCACTTGCGGTGTAGCCGCAATTTTTTTTTTAAAGGGGCCCAGTCGCCCTATTACGTTACCACAGCGCTGACCGGGCCCCTGAAGATATAGGGCCCATCGGGTGGCCCTAAATGCTCGGGCCACCTGATTGGCCCCGGTGTAGGTGCACCTGCGGCAGTTGTCACCCCCTGATGGTGGCCCTGCCTAGACCAACGAACCGTTCAAATGGTGCCATGACCCGGCAGCTTTAATAAAGACAATTATTCACAGCCTTCTCTGCTCAAGAAATGCTAACTGCATATTAAAAATTAAAAACTATTGGCACGTTAAGGTTGCTCTGTCACTTTTGAGTATTGCAGGAAATAAAATCATTGTGAAATACTCACATTGTATCAGACAAAACTTATGAAAAAGCAGAGCTTCCACCAGCAAGTTTTCTCAATGTCATCGCTAGCAAAAGCTGTGAGAAAGAAGCATGTTAGTTGCATAGCCAGAGTAGGTCTGTGAAGGATTTGGAGAGATCTTCTATAGGCCTCTGTGCTGCATGCTTGCTAATGTGAGAGAGTACGATATTGATGTGGCTACTGGCAGATGAAGGACCATAAGCTGTAGATGGAAGACAGATGAATGATGGAACAACTCGTGGGAAAGACTTCCAGTTGAGCAAAGCTCGATTCAGCTTTACCCCTAACTACTGCACAATAAGCAGGTATGTCACTGTCTTTCCAAAATGCAGAAAAAAGACCCACAATAGCGATGCATATGCTTTAAATGACCATATGAAAAATTATGTTTATCTGACCTTTTTTTTCTAAATAAGTTCTAAAAACATCTTCATCATTGTTATTCAAAAAAAAAAAAAAATTACACAAACCCGTCAAAAGAAATAAACCAATTTTTCCCCTCAAATTTAATGAAACATTTTCATTAGCTTTTATATGATCTTTTATAGTGTATGGTCCTTCATTTAAATGTATAACGATTTTTAAATATTGTTTCTTAAAATAATTTAAAAAAAAACAACTTTTTAAATACTTAAAAAGGCACGCTGCAATGTGATCTATGTGTAAAATATATCCTCGGAGCTATACAAAATCAAGCCTTGTTACCCAGAGCAACACTGCACATGTTCAAAACAGACATCTCTTTTCGGCTACTGCAAGGTCAACCCCCTGATCTGCTCTCCTCATGTTCGAGGAATATTGAGCTTGTTGAAACAGAATAAGAACATTTTGCTGCTTAGGGGATTATTTTTACACTCACCCGAATGGAGAGTTTAATAAATTATTCATTGGAAGGAGAAGATGAAAAAAAAAAAAAAAAAGCAGAAGTGTGGAGCTGCTGCTAAAGTGCTGATGTCAGGAAAGAGTGCAGTAGTGTATGGTGCAGTCTGAATAAGAAATGCAATGCCAGCTACAGCCATCCTGAGATTGTCTCATCACCATTCCTGTGTGCTCACACATATACACAGTCTAGGGGTTCGGGATCATGGCGCTCATTAAGAAACCCCTTCTGTTTTTAATTTTGCTCGGATGTACACTGCAAGCTGTGCAACCTAAACGATCTGTGAGATGCCCGTCCACATGCAGCTGTACAAAAGAATCAGTCATTTGTGTCGGATCTTCCTCAATCCCAAAGAGCCTCCCCAGCGACATCAGCTCCTTGTAAGTGGAAATCCAGCGTTGAAAGTTCTATTTAGAATGAGAAATGCTGTATTGTGTTCCGAGCCTTAATCTGGAGTCTCTGCACTGGACTTGTGCAGTTTTGACACAGTCTATAAAGCAATGGCATCGATAAGACAAAGGTTCAGGTGTCTTTAGATTAGTTATAGCAATTTTGATAACATGTATGGAGTGAAACCATAGAAACCCACTCTGACAGATAGGGAAGCTTTGAAATCACTGCTAGCACGGTTTGTTTTCCTGGTATATTTGTTTAGTAAATTATTGATTTTTTTTCAGCTTGCAAAAAAATCTATAAGCTTTAAGTTTACATATAAAAATTATACATACTTAAAATCTGGTATGTTCGCAAGTAACATCAGTCCAGGACTACTAGATTATTACTGTAAGAAGATATTTGTGCTATTCAATATATGAGGAATGCAAAAAGTGACTTTTGACAATTATTTACTTCTGCTGAAAATAAACTAGTTACCTGGTATAATACAGTTTTGACAAGTTTAACATTTTAGGCCTTGTGTCATTTCACCCTCCAGTGGGTTATTTGCATAATAGGAGTGGGTGTATGGAAACGTCACTTGCAGTTGAGTTAATCAAGGATCTGAAAAGTGTGGAGTGTACACGTAGCATATCTGTCCCAGGGAGAAATTTTGCATTCAATAAAAGTACAAATAAAGTTTGCTTGTATTTAACTGATGTTTTTTTCCATTATCTAAGTGATAAATAAGGTGCAAGCCCAACCTTTATACATCTTTAGGAGGGGTTAAGTGCATATCCCATTATATTATAAAATACATGGATGACAGCAAGTTATCGTTGACATGTTTGCAGCACACCTGAAGCAATGCAGACATCAGCTGACACACAGATGGGATTCCGTGTACACATAAATACTCTATAAATGTATGGTGTGCTTTTGGTGCCCTGCATCACAATAGCACGTCATGCCTAGGGATAAAGCTTTGCTGCTGGATGTAAATAATTTATTTACAAACCATCACATATAAGTATGCCAGCGGCCTGCATTACAACGCCATAAAGAATTTACAATAAAAATGTCTTATTTGTATCTAGCAGATATGTTCAATCCATTGACAATTAGGGTTTGGGGGAGGTATGATAGGGGATTCCAAGGCAGACATGTTATACATTTCCTTGCAGCCAAAGTAGACAAAGGGTAAAATTTACTTTAGGCGATACATATGGCAAAGTTTGTGCTGGCTGATCAAGGGCAATGTTTATTGAATGCAAAAGTTTAGTCATGTTGAGTTCCACGAGTGGTGAGCGTTGAATGCCCCTCCAGCATTCTAAGGGTTGATGCCATGCTCCCGGGGGGAGACAGTGATTGCCATGTTATGTGAAGCATTGCACTTTACTAATCTCTAAGGTTTTGTTTTTTGTGGATTTTCTTTATCTTTTAGAAGCCTCGTCAATGGGACTTTTTCTGAGATCAGGGAGAGAATTTTTACTCATCTGCCAACCCTGCAGCTGCTGTGAGTACTGCACTTTGCAACAAAAACCTTTTATTCTTCTGGGCACAGAAAGCAATTACTATTCCAGACACATCACACGAAGGGTCTGCGATACATGTATAGAGAGTTAATGATGCAACAGGAAATTGATATGCACACCTCTGCTCTGAGCGTAGAGTATGTACGACGTGAAAATAAAATAAGAACTCGATCATAAAACATGATATTGAACGCAAGGCTCTGAAAACTTCATTAACAAACATTGGGGACTTAATTTCTTAATGACATTTTTTTCAACCAAGTGTTAAAAAATACATACATATAAGGTGGAGTTTCTTTCTTATAAATGATTTGACAATTCTTGGGCGAATATCGTCAAGGTTGGAGCCACTAAATATAGGCTCAGATTTCCAGCTTAGTGGGGTATAAAGGTCCCCACTTCCTTCTTTAAGTAGGTGGAATGGTTCCAAAAAATCAAATATCCTTTCAATAGTAGATATAAATGTGAAGTGCTTTATTGTAAAGTGCACAAAAAGTAAAAATATTAAAAATAGAATATAAAAACAAATTAATAAAAGTTAAAACCTTACAGTCCGAAGGTAAGTCCTTAATAAAGTATCTGTAGGTTCTTTGTAGTGCAAAACGCATTTCGCCTCGCTGGGAGGCTTCCTCAGTTGCTGCTGCTGTCTTGTCTGTAGATTTCCTTTTAAATTCACCTCAATTGGCGTTTTTTTCCTAACTTGCTGTCACTTCCGGTATCGGGTTGTGCGTTCCATAAGTGGAACGCATGTGGTTCACATCCGTTCCTCTGTGTGTCGTGTGTTCACTTCCGGATTCCAAGTTGTGCGTTCCGTGATTCGTGTTCATTCCTCTATATTGGAGCGCATTCATGCGTTCCACAGTGTTCAATATAGTTATGTGTATTTCTCACCCCTTATTCAATT